GAGTTAATGGTGAGTTAATGGTGAGCTAATGGAGCAATAGCTCAAGCTAAGGAGCCATGGTCTCACCAGAAGTCTAGACACATACTTAGACGATTTCATCTCATCAGAGAGATGGTTGAGAGAAAAGATGTGCAAATCAGTAAAATACATACTAATGACAATCTTGTCGATCCACTAACAAAGCCTCTATCATAGCAGAAACATGAACAACACTTGAGGTCATTTGGTATTAAATACATGAATGATTGGCTATAGTGCAAGTGGGAGATTGTTAGAGTAGGTGCTAGAGCCAATCAATTATTGTAGAATTGATTGTAATAATGTTCATTGATCAATAAAAGGTAATTTATTCTATATCGTGTAAATGATATCTATATGTATTGATATATATCTTTAGAATGGTAGAATCGTGACGAGGCTATCAAGTGTTTCAAATCTTGATAGTGAGAACCCTATAAGCACATATGGTGGCCATTCTAGAAATATCTATAGCCCTAGTATTATTCTGACCAAGGACACAGATAATACGATAAGGCTATCATAGTGTTGAACGACCTTGTCGAAAGGTAGTGACTGATCTCACTTGTCAAGGTTGTTTGCCGACAACCTAGTGCAACAACACATAGGTGCTTGCTGTAGGCAAGTTCACTGGACTGACCCACCAAAGGATTCCATATAGATGGTAACCCCAGTTTCTATGGAACAAATCCTCTAACGAATGGTGGTGCATGTTATCCTTAGACTTGAGATCATCGGAGCACCTTGTGCACCGATTGTTGTAGATTAACACTAGCCCAACGTAGTTCTATTCAAGGCTATCAATACGGTAGTGATTGGCTGCATCAAGGACTGTATCAAGACTATAATGGATCGACAAAGGATTCATCACTCCCGGGTATGGGAGAAGTTATCTCATGGCGCAATTCAGTACATGACAATGACACTAAAGTTATGGCCACAGTGGGATTGAGTTATCGCCCAATCCAATTTATTATTCCGGTCATTGATCCAGTAACTGAATACAGATATATTGAGAGTAACTGAGGTTGACACTATTTCTGTACCTCGGTCTCGATGAGATAACAGATGATGAAAGGATTTGATTTCACGTTAACCATATTATTGACAGGTAGCTATTTCGCTGAATCCAATTCTATCGGGTGGCCATGATACCTTGTTAGGGGCCAGTCTTGGTTTGTGTATAGTGAGACAATTCATTGGTGTCAATCGCGATGCTACTCACTGTCGGTTTGATGAGGAGCCTATGAGTCACACACATAAGGAGACAGTTTAAGGGTAGTTAACTATGGAAGGTTATTTTCGTCTTTTGGACGAAAGGGCATTTTGGTAATTTTGCTGTGTAATTAAATTTGCTGAGGTTGTTGCCTGTGTCCAATTTTATTATTGGAGTTATTTAGCAAAATTACAAATTTAATTATTGAAGTTAATATTAATATTTAACTAAATAATTAGATTGGGACGTATGTGCAATTCCACCTAAGTTTGGGTTGTTGCTAAACTTTAGGGGTGGAATTGATATTTAGCTTTTCTATATAAAGAAAGCTTTGAATAGGTTTTTCATTATATCACTCATTCTTTAGCCGTGGAGTTAAGAGCTTTTAGAGAGAATTTTTTTCGCTCTTCCTTTCTTCCTTACTTCACCCTTCCAAATCCTTGAATCCTTAAAGCCATATATTGGTTCTAGCAAAACCAATCTCTGGTCTCTGTTGTATTGTCTTCATGTAGACGACGTGAGTTCGATCCTACACTTGGATCGATAGCGAGATCGTGTTTAGAGAATTTTGACGAAGCCTCCAAACGCTGGTATGATCTGATCCTTCCTTGATTGTGTTATTTCAATTTAAGCATGTAAAATATATACATATAATTTTGGGCTAATTAGAGTAATAGATGGGAAAAAAATTTGTTTTCCGCTGCGTTTTCCCCATTAATTTACTAACAGGACAACCCCAGTTATTGTTGAATATGAAGTGTCTAGACCAAAACTGACTCCTGATTGGACCACGACTGAGTTAACTCTTGCAATATATAACTCTAAAGCCATTCATGCTTTGTTTAATGTTGCAAATGTTAATCAAATGAAAGTCATAGCTAACAATGATGCTTGGGATAGGCTTCAAGTAAAAAATGAAGGCACTAGTGCTGTTAAATGAAATAGACTTAGAAGACTTGTAACTGATTTTGAAAATTTGGTTATGCATGAAGATGAGACTATCACTGATTTTTATGGTAGAGTTTAGGAAGTTCTTTGCTCTCTTCCTAAGAGATTCATGTCAAAAGGGAACACCATTGAGAATGTTGTGATGTGGATGCTATGGACATTGATGAACTCATTGGCTTTCTTCAAACCTTTGTACTGAATCTGAAACGATGGGACAATCAGAAACCGAGCAAAGGTTTGGCTTTCAAACATGAGATAGATTCTTAACTTTTTGATAAAATTGATTCAAGTATGATGAAAATTGTGCTTTACTTACAAGAATTTTGCCAAGTTTTTAAAGAAAAACATGAAAAAACCTTTTGAGAGTGGAAATGGTAAAAAACCGTTTGTGAAATTTTTTTTATTCCAACCAACCCCTGGTACCTTTGCAAAAAGATTTTTGAAAGATAAAGAAAAGAAAAATAGGGGTATCAAGTGCTTAGAATGTGAGGGTTTGGGCATATAAAATCTGAGTTACTAAAACACTGAAAAAAAAAGAAAGGTAAGGCTATGGCTGCCACTTTGAGTGAGAGTGACCAAGAAGAGAGTGAGGAAGATGAGTCTGGTGATGATGAGAATGTTCTTGCTTTTACCATAAATCAAGATGATGATAAGAGTGAGTTTTCGGATGACACAATTGATACCTATGCTGAACAACAAGAAGCATTAGATAAGATGTATGATCAATGGTTAAAGGCTGTGAAAAAGTTGCAATCTCTTGGAATTGAAAATGCAACCCTGTTGAAGCAAAAGAAAGCGTTGTCCGAAAAGATTATTGTTTTCACTATCGAACTAACTAAGGCTAAGGCCATAATTGACAGATTGAATGCAGGTTCTCTCAAGGTTGATGAAGTCCTTGGGCAACGAAAGTCTTTCAGAGATCGGTATGGTTTGGGTTTCAATCCTGGTCCTAGCACATCAGCTTTTGGTGCACACACGTTTGTTAGAGCCACTGAAACTCCTGTTGAAGTTGCTACTGTGAGACAAGCTATAAAGGTAACAAAAATCATATGCATTTTTCATTTAGGTAACAAAAAAAGTCACATCAGACCAAAATGATTCAAGTTCATTGCATATTTGAAAAGAATTCTTGAAAACCATAACTTGTATTCTAATGTGAGTCCTCATGATAACTATGGTTTTTCTTCCAAAAGAATTTGGAAACCCAAGTCTGGTGTGAACTACCTTGTGTCTCATACCTCCTTGCTTGAATGTCAAAATGATCTTTGATATTTGGATAGTGGTTGTTCTAGACATATGACAGGAGATAAATCACTTCTGTCTAAACTCGAATTAGTTGATAGTGGACATGTTACTTATGGTGATGGTAAGAAAGGTAAAATTCTTTGTAAGAGATCAATTGTCCTTCCTGATTTTCCTGTTTTGAATGATGTCTTACATGTTGAGGGTTTGAAAGCTAATTTGATTAGTATTAGTTAGATTTGTGATAAGAACTTTGTGGTTCAATTTTCCAAGTACAAATGTCAAATCTTGAATGATGAAGGTATCTCCTTACTAGAAGGAAAAAGATCCAATGACAATTGTTATTTGCTTTCTAACCGTGTGTCATGTTTTAGCTCTAATATTGATTGCACTAACTTGTGGCATGAAAAACTTGGTCACATGAATTTCAAAGATTTGGTAAGATTTTCAAAAAGGGAAGTTGTTAGAGGACTACCAAAACTTGAACCTCCAAAAGGTAATGTGTGTGATCCATGTCAACAAGGTAAATAAATCAAGATCTCTCGTAAAGCCTTATCTAATCTGAATACCTCATATGTGTTGGAATTGCTCCATATGGATCTAATGGGTCCTATGCACATCAAGAGTTTGGGAGGTAAGAGATATGTGTTTGAGTTGATGACTTCTCTAGGTATGCATGGGTTGACTTCTTGCATGAGAAATCTGATTCCTTTAATGCCTTTCAAAAATTGGTTAAGAGGTTTCTTGTTGAGAAGAGTTCCATGGCTATGAAGATTGTGAGAATTAGAAGTGACCATGGTAAGGAATTTGCACTACAATATTATGCACTTCTAGCCATGGCGTTCATTGTATCTAAAAATAAGAATTTGCATAGCTAAATGGTTTAGCTACAAATGCAATTTTTTGTAGCTTATGGTAGCTAGAAGTGGCGCAACTAAAAGTTAGCCATATAACTTTTTGCTTACGTAGCTAATAGTTTATATTTTTTGCTATAGATGAGATTAATATATAACTAAAAACTTAAATGTTTTTGCTATAACAACAAGAAGCTTGTAGCAAAAGCTTTGCCTTTGGAGCCATGGAGAATAGTTTGTACAGCTATGTTTGTATTTTAGATATACAAATTTAAATTTACAACTAAAACTTAAAAATTTCTGCTACAAAAATAATATCCATGGCAAATATATTAACATTTTAGCTACATGACCTTTTATAATAGCTAAATATTGAAATTACTTGCTATGAATACTTTTGATTTGTAATTAAATATTATAATTATTTGCATATATGAAATTCATTTGCTATGGACATAGTGTGTTAATAGCTAAATATTGAAATTACTTGTTATGAATACTTTTGATTTGTAGTTAAATATTATAATTATTTGCAATGGAACAAATAATTTATATCAAGAATTTATAATTTATTGCTTCGATTAAACTTAATTGTAACAAATATTGCTATATTTAACAAATTTAATAATAATTACAAATTTACAGCAATATTTTTATATTAAATAGATAATATGATGTCATAAGAAAAATTCTAATATAAAAAATAAAACATTAATAAAGTCATTTTCAACCAAATAATTGTCTACTCATTAAATCCTTCATCCTAGTAATTTAAAATGTTATCAACTAATTTTTTTACAAAATATGAATGCTTCAATATCGCAATCTTTCTTGACCATTCACCAACCTGCAATATAAATTTTGCAAAGAAAAAAAATAAGGTTAATCATATAAACTAATGTAATCATTGCATATCACTTTATGATTAATGTAAACGAAAAATCGTTTTATATGCAGTTTTCAAAATAACTTACAATTTCATCCAAAAGGATTTGGTTATAGAACCTCATCTTCTTAACATCCTTGGAAACTTTCATCTCTAGCTCCTTTTCAGTAGGAAGCCTAATACAGTAGTTGTTATAAATTGAGAGAAATCCAAGTTTCGCAACAGAAGGATTATCATCTCAGGCAATTTGTAACTCTCTTTCAAGGATTTACTATTAGACTCTAGATTTGCAAGTAGAGCAATTCCAAGTTCTGCAAGTTTATGCTTCTTACTTTCAAAAACTTCTTCAGTTGTGACTTGTGAGATCTTTTTTCACCTCAGCCTAAGCAAACAACAAGGTTTTGTTATTAGAAGCAGAGAACGCAAGAATAAAAGATACCATGTCTTATCCACCACAATGAACATAGTTTGAGTTTAATATTCCCAAAAAAAATAATATAAACAAAGTAAGAATCTTCAAATAAAAAATACGCGGCCACATGCGAGGTGTAAATTTTCATCTGGAAAAGCCCTAACAAGATCGCTAAAAACAAATAATAGAGAAATTGAAAGAGTACCTCAATCTTGTATTCAATGAATATAAAATGATTTTACAAAATTATTTATACTACACTTGCCATCTGAGTTGGTGATCCATGTGAAAACAAATCTAATCCATCAATTGTTTTAGAAACAAACACAAATACATATAATCTTGACCGTTAAATCATCATCTTCTTCTTCAATAGAAAGAGAGAGAAACTCTAAGTCTTAGTCTGCTTCAGTTCTCAATTTGCAGAGAATAGGAAGATTATAGAGATTATTTTGCTAAAAACACCAAAACGCTGTTGTTCCTTCTTATGAGAACTAACAGACTTGGAACTTGGAACACCGTTGATTCATTTTCTTCTTCTTTCTTTTACTTTTTTTGACACCGAAAGCTGTTTTATCTTCAACACGAAGTAAGAGAAAATTGGTACTAAATGATGAAGCAGATAACTTCAAAAGGACAATTTAAGTATGGAACATATTAAAGGGATTGAAAAACTTCTTATTATATGAGAAAGTGTCAAAATCACAAGAAACAAATATAACTAGATAGTTATACACCCTCAATAAATTTAAATTAACATGAAAAATTTATAAAAAGGTGTGTTGAAAGTAGTGATATAATATTATCCCTAATTCTCTATTAGGTCAATCTGTAAAGAAAATTAGTATAAATTCAAAGTACTAGCACAGCAGCTTGGGGGGCTTGTTCTGTTTCTTTGGTTTTAGTCAACTCCTTCCCTTGTTTCTTTGCCTCTTTCTTAATTTTTTTAAGCTTAGCTCCCTTTTCCAATTTTGTCAGCTTGACATGGTGTAATGTAACCTATTAATAATCTACAGATAACACCCATAAAAGAATAAATATGTTTAAAAAAAAAAACCCCACTATAATAGTATAAAAAATCTACAAAATCCGAATAAAGATGCAAAAAACCTATAGTATGTGTGCAATTTGCATCTGCAAACTGCAAACTCATTTTTCTTTTATTCTCTCAAAGTGCACATATTTTCATGCACATTTATCCACATAAAGTTCCACTACAATAAATTTCTAAAGGAATTAAATACTTAAGTTGATTTGATCTCTATCCTTCCAATTTTTATTTTCATTGGGTAAATATTCTAGCCCATAACCAAGATTCATATAAAAATTGAAAATTTCAGAAAGCTCAATGGAAATTCATATAAAAATTGCAATGATCAAAACAAAACAAACCAAAACTGGTTCCTACTGAAGAACCAAATACAAAAAACACTAAAAGACAAGCAATACCCAGATAACAAAATGTCGAAAGAACTCATTTTTAGACCTAAGAAAAAGCAAGAGAAGTAGAAACAATGAAACTGAAAGTACATCAATAGATAATGGAAGAGAAAACTTATAGAGAAAAGAATAGACACAAGATTCAACGTCCACAGAAGCTCAACCTAGTTTAGGTAACACAAACAAGGAAGAATCTGAAGCTATTAAGAGGAAATCTCCACCGTCTGGCCACCCTTTAGTGTCGCCTTTTTTCTGCTGCAACTTCGCTCTCCGCCCTTCTTTTCTTCAACCAAAATTACCTCCTGCAGTTGGGTATGAAATGAAACTTCACTCAAAATGATTTACGATGATTTTTGGAGGTCGAAGTCAACGAAGAGGCGATGATTCCAATGCAGGACAAACAGACGATAGTAGCATATTAAGGATTTAGGGTTTGATCGATGAATTGGGTTTGCATTGTGAGTCTGTGACTGTGTGTAAGAGTCAGTGTGGGCAAAATTTGTGTTTATAAATGAAGGGTAAATCCATAATTATCAAAATAAAACAAGGGTAATTAGGGAATAGAATTAACATATATATTTTGTATTAACATATGATATATTATAAATTATACATTATAATAATTTACTACACATTATTAATATATAACATATATACTATGTATGTCAAATTATACATTATACATATATAACACATTTATTAAGTATTAAAAATATTTATAATAATTTATTGATTTATTACAATGAATTAAAATATCAAATGATTAAGGATAATAGCATATTATGTATAATATATAATTTATAATTTATAATTTTTTTTCATAGCATATTATGTATAATGTATAATACATATGATACACTATACATAATACATTATTAATATATTATGTATATCAAATAGTACATTATACATATATAACATATTTATTATGTATTAAAAATATTTATGATGATTTATTGTTTAATTATAATGAATAAAAATATCCAATGATACATTATACATATATATTATGTATATCAAATGATACTTATACAAATATAACATATTTATTATGTATTAATAATATTTATAATGATTTATTATATTTAATATAGACAAATTATCTATTATTATTTATTACCCATTTGTATATGATTTCACTCAATATTTTCACAGTTATATTATTATAATCACATTTGAATTTGATCAATTAATAATGAGAAACAATTAATTAGTAGAATAGTATATATATATAGGGCGGGACCGGGTGGGGTGGGGCAAGGCCAACCTCTTCCCCAAATTCGGGGATTGAATTTTGGCTTGGACCCGGTCCCGTCCCCGAACCATTTGGGGAATCTCCACCCCGTTTGGGCCAGGCCCCAACAGGGCGAGGAAAATGTCTATCAGTATTATTAACACTATATATTATCATCATCATCTAAAACATATATACAAGTCCATATATACAAATATGTAACATTACCAATTTTTATAATATCTCATATCTCATACCTAAAATCATCTATATTCCATAAAGAGTTAATTTTAATTCATCATAAAAAAGACAAAAACCTCAAAGATACTTTAAAATAAAATTTTATTTTACAAAAGCCCACACTCTTAGCTCGTTGAACAGTTCTTTTAAGTTAATTATTGGTTGAACATTCTAATTTACTATTGACCTTAGCGGTGTCATTAATACTATGTTTAACTATAACTATTTAATTCATAAGTAATAAAAATATAATATCTCATGGGATAAATTAGAATATCTATAGCTGCATCCTATAACGATTGTAGTAAACTAATTTTCACATTATTTATTTCCTACAAATTCAAATAATTTATAGCTAATACACACAGACTAGCTATATATTTAAACTGGTAGCTACTAATGATACTATAATATTGTTACTACCATAAAAATAAAATTTGTATGGCAAATACCTTAATTAGTTACAAATTTCAGTATTTTATAGCTAATACACAAATAATAGCTATATAGTTAAACTCGTAACTAATAATGTTACTACATGTCATGTAAATAAAATGTTTATAGCTAAATACATTAATTAGCTACAATGTTTTACCATAGCTAATACATTGTAGCTAAATGACTAGTTATTGCCACGATTTTAATAAGTTGAAGTAATAGATGAATATTAGCTTCAAGGGAGGAAGTCTTACCACTAAGGAGGCGTTTAGTTTAGAGAATGTTGGATTAATAGGAATGTTGGATCATTGAAAAGTTAGATTACCTTGAAGATTACTGAGAATCTTTAGGAAAATATGTTTAGTTAATTGGTGGATATGTTATATTAATATGTTTGGTTGGGAGGAATAAATTGGTGGGTATGTTATTTAAATTACTGAATTGTCCTTTAATTAAATATTATTATTATATTATTTTTTAATATTTATTATTATTTGGATTATTATAACCCCCTGCATGCAAAAACAACCCTATAATAAAAGTTTGAAAAATTAACAAAGCACCCCCACCAACCTAGCCACTGCCGGTTGTCGGCAACCATCGCAAGCCCCCGGCAACCTAATGGCGCACGGAAGGTAGGAAATGACCTCCGTACGCCGTATGGCCATTTCCAACCAGAAATTTGGCCAGAAATGGCCATACGTGATACATTTGGCCGTCGACGGCCAAATCAATGACGGATCTAGTCGTCAAGGGCCAGATCCGTTGATCTACCAATCAACGGCCAGATCGATGGTCGTTGACAGCCAGATCTGGCACAATCTACCCATTTTCGACCAGATATCTAGCCGAAAATGGCCATATCAACGCACGACGGCCATTTCAGGCCTTCTGTGCGCCGTTTCAATGGCAGCGGTGGTTGCCGGCAACAGGTGGGTGGGGATGGGGGTGGTGGCTTAGGGGGGTTGGTATTTGTTTTGAATTCAAGGGTAATTTTGTCCAAAAAGTTAATTAGTTGGGGTGAAACAGTAAAAGTCATATTCATGTAAATAAATTTAAAAATAAGGGCATTATTGTCCTAAAATTTTATTAATAAGGGATAGAATTGTAACAAGAAACGATAACCCTAGTAATCTTAGAATTCCTAAGAAAATTGAGATAATCAGATTACCTCCAATATTACCAATAGTAGTTACTATTGGTATTTGAAGATTACTAGTATTTTATATTACTTGACAACCAAACATGGTAATCAAGTAATATAAGATGACTTAACCCTAGTAATCCCACGTAACCCCCAACCAAACGCCCCCTAAAATTATTTCAATTACCTATAAATATTGACTTTTGTAGCTGTAAATATGCATTTGCTACAGTTTTCCTTTTTGTTGCTAATTTTCATAGCTATATGTCCATAATGTTGTAGTATTGAGAACGCTGACTTTGTTGATTTTTGTGAATTACAAGGTATTTTCCATGAATTCTCTGCCCCAAAAACACCTTCACAAAACAGTGTGGTGGAGAGGAAAAACCGAGTGCTTCAAGAGATGACTAGGGTGATGCTCAATGCCAAGAAACTTCCCACAAGACATTGGGTTGAAGCTACAAACACAGCTTG